GTCAAAAAGCCTGTGTTTTTAGGGTTATTAACAAAGTTCATGTACTCAGACCAGTAATATTTGGGGTCACAAGTTTTCGCCATGGATATTTTGTGGGTCCGAAGATAAAAAGTTTGGGAACCACTGGTCTAATTTGTCTCTCTACAAAGCTATCTACATAAATCATCCTATGGAGACTAATCAGGGATTTAAATCACATTCATACACTGATGGGACCCTGGGGATTAAGCCCAGGGACACCTTACCATGTGTCAGAATAGCGGGGAATCGAACCGCCACCCCTGCTACACGACTGTGATGGTCTGAAGACCTGTCTAGGTGTCTGTGATGAACTGGAGACATATCCAGTTGAATAGGATGGACTGGAGACCCAGCCTTCCTTACATGGACACCAGCTCCATACAATCCAGCACCAAAACCTGGTGAATCACATGATTACTCTGTTATCCTCTGTAGAAATGATAAAGATTATTGTCACCAAAAATCAAACAATACAGTCTAAACTAAATCCAGAATGGATTTTGGGTTTTTCAGTCTCTTCTAGTCCAAACACTGAGATAAAAATTGATAACGAGAGACATTCCTAGACTTTATTCACATTCTTCTGTTTTTTTGTATTTATTGACACATATTTATAATCCATGCTCTGTGCTGCATGTAGGTGAAATATTTCACATCAGCTCACTTTTTAAGTACAACTATCAGGACTGGAAATACTAAAATCAGTTGTGTGTCTGCAGAATGGCCGTGTTTACTGTGTTTTAGTGTTGTACACAGCTCAACAAATGGATGATTATCATTCCTCCTACACCATGTCAAACTATGTGGATAAACCTGAACTATAATCTGGTTCTGTGTGTGTGTGTGTGTGTGTGTGTGTGTGTGTGTGTGTGTGTGTGTGTGTGTGCTGCTGATGTTTCTGCCCCGATTTACAACAAAACGTGCTTGCTTTCATAAAATATATATTATTTAAATGGTTTATCTACACTACGTTTGTATTTACAGATTTATATTCTTCATTTGTGAGTTTTTGTCTACATTATTCTTTTTTTTTATTCTAATAAAAACAATGACATTATTCACCCTGTGATGACAAAAGTTATTTTGATCAGTTTGAGCTGATTCACATTCACAAACATTTCACTTCCTATCTGATGCATAATTAATCTGATAATCTGGCTTTATTAACATTAATCTGACCCAAATTCCAAAGTGAAACTACTTATCAAAAATAGTCCAAACCTTCGTTTGGTCCTCAGTCCTGGAGGACATCATCCTGCATGTTTTAGTTGTTTTTCTTCAGCAGGTCTTCAGGTTCTACAGAACCTTGTGCGAACATAATAAACTGACAACAAAAGAAAACATTTGAATAAAATATATTTTTTCCTCCTCAAAATTGTTTTCTGTTCACAAAATCCAACCTTTCTTTTCTAGAAGAGTTTGGCTCTACTGTCATACAGATCATCATGGTGTTTCCGGTTAACAATAACTCCTTTTCCACCATAGACACAAATTTTAAAAGTCCAGTCTGTTGTGTTGTATTGTCGTCGTAAGCAAGTTTGAATTTGCTGTAATGCTAAGAATGTCCCATTGGCATTTAGCTTGTAAGATGTTACAGAAATGCAGTTTCCGGTTCTGAATGTTGTTCTCTCTGATCATCCAATCAAACAACATGCTCATGTCTCAGGCCAGCTAGCACGTTTTGTATTTTGTTTTGCGTTTTTTAGCTTGTGTTTAATTTTTGTGCTTTTTAATTTGTGTTTATTTCAATTTGTGCCTTTTAATATGCAAATTTAGTTTTGTGTCTTAACCTGTTTATTTTGTTTTGCATTTTTTAACTTGTGCATATTTTGTTTTGTGCATTTTAACTTGTGTATTTTTTTGCATATTTTAGCTTGTGTATTTTTGTGTGTATTTTGTTTTGCATCTTTTAACTTGTGTGTATTTCGTTTTGTGACTTAACTTGTGTTTATTTCAATTTGTGCCTTTTAACCTGTACATGTTTTTTGCATCTTTGAATGTGTTTATTTTGTTTTGCATCTTTGAACTTGTGTGTATTTCGTTTTGTGCATTTTAACTTGTGTATTTTTTTGCATATTTTAGCTTGTGTATTTTTGTGTGTATTTTGTTTTGCGTCTTTTAACTTGTGTGTATTTCGTTTTGTGACTTTTAACTTGTTTCTATTTCAATTTGTGCCTTTTAAAGGGACAATATTATGTGTTTCTCAGGCATATATTTAAGTACTATACCATAATAATGTATCTACTGTATGTCACCTATAGTTGTTATTAAAATGCTATGTATAAATCAAAAATAAACTTGACTTCACATCATGAATATCAGTTACTGCTTTTGATCTTTGATTTGACAGACTTATTTTAAAGGGCCAATATTACGTTTCTCAGGCATATATTTCCATTCTATACC